GTGTTATTATCACGCAGTAAACAATAAACAGAGGTGGTTTTATATCTATCGTCGACGACACGTTATATTATTATAATACCGTATACATCGGAAGTTTATCGGAAAAGTTTTACTCCCCTCCCCCCGCCACAAAATATATTTATAACAGCTCGTGACATTTTTCGCATTTATCGTATGTGCACGTGTCGACTTTCTTTCATGATGAGAGCTCAAACGATTATTCGATGTCTTAATAAAGTTTTTAGCGTTTGGCCAAATGCAAAAATGCACGTGCATTTTATAGACGATGGACGGATAAGTATATAATATTATTATTACTTCAACCTCTGTGGTTATTCCTTTATCGAAATCTGATAGAAAAAAAAAAACCGAGTAAAGTTTTTAATCAGGTTCTGATCGAGTTACAACACTTTATTAATATCTTTTAAACGTTAGCGGACAGGTTAGCGTTTTAATTAAGCGTACTATGATGTACTATGATGTCGCGTTGTCCTCGTACTGCGTGTGAAACGTAATGAGATGAAATAATTAAATCATAAAAGGTTTCAACTATATCGGTACAGTATAAAATACAACGTTTAAAGTTCCAATTTAAAACGTTCATGCTTTAACTGTTTATAATAATATGTGTGAGATACCCGAAGCAGAAATAATCGAAATATTATTCCTAGTGATGGTAATGTGTCATTTTATGATATTATATTTTATTTGATAATAGTATTGGATAATATGTGTGAAACAAGTGAATCGTGTTAAATACGGATTAATTTTTAAATAGACGTTATCATCAATATTATATGCCATCTCAAAACAGTGTTTTCGGTTTTACATGGTAATTTGCACGGTTCGTCGAAACAATTTATGGACCTGAAGATTTGTACTTATTACCGGTCATAGCATGCAAGGTTTTCATAAACGTAATTGAAAAATTCGAATTGTAGAATTATTTAAAAATGTTTGCTTGTGCAATGAAAATGGTGAAAGACATAAGCGCCAATATGAGATAAGTAAAACAATTATCGTATTGTACTAAAGTGCTAAAATCCTTTTTTTTGTTTGGCTTTTCTTTCATCGTGGACCGAAGTATCTGATGATTTTGCAATTTTTTTTTGTCTATCGCATTTGAAGATCAAACAATTAACAAATTTACTAATTACATTTTAGAAACATACATTGATTCTAATATATATAACCTTCTAAATTTTGGATTGAAATTCCGGGTAAAGAGATTATACAAATTATAAATGCGGCTGAGTCATACCATTGACATTAAAAAGATCAATCTTATTATTTATCTATTATTATTTTATCTTATTATTATTATTAGTTCCGTTCATATTGTAATAAATGTACTATTACAATGTATAAAATCTGCTCCTAAAAAAAAATTAATGATATCTCACGAATATATAATTGTAAAATGAGCGAAGTACCAGTATGGCGAAATAAATCGTTTAGAATATGTGAAAAAAAATTGGATTAATCCAATCATCCAATGTATTACAATTATATTTATTTTCATTTATTTTTATGTATGTTATATTTCATCGATTATTGATAATTTTAAATGTCTTTAAATACTTATATAAAATATAATATATTCTATATAAGTATTTAAATTATATATTATAAATTATTAGTTTAGGAATAGATGATATGTCTTTTTTGCACCTTTGATGTTTATGTCATATAGCCAATAAGAAGTACCTACCTACAATTTTTCATACTCACTCTAGTGAACAAAATTAATGAAGTTACATTAGAGTAAATAAGAAAGTAAGTTTTTAAACAAATATTGTGTTGTTTAAAAAATAATCCTCTGTATTCATAATACGATACTGAAAATTCGGTCTCTGATTCATATTATGAGATTTTTAGTTATATTCGAAATATTCTGTAGAACATTACGGCCTGTATAAGTATCATATTGTTCAATTCAGAATCACCGAATTAATAATATTTATCATAAAATGTTATTTATTAATGAATTAGGCATGTATGAATTATCGTTTTCTACAGTTGTGTGTAATATATGCGTACGCGTGCGAATTCGTGTTAACCTATTTACTTTTTATGACACGATAATACAATATTCATGAATTTATGATCAATGATGTGGATTAACAATGTCATAATATAATGATATGTATTATTAATAATCATCAATATATCTGTGAAAACAATATGATTATTATTTGACGAAATTTTTATAAAAAAAAATACTTTGTCCGAATCATCCGATTTGTTATAATACTAGATTAAAATATAATTCAGGATTAATCTTAAACATAATTTTTAATTCGTAAGATCCAAGAATCAAAATTTTATCGAAGAAAAAATTTTAAATATTTCTTTTAAACATTAAAAACTGGTGTAAAAAAACAATTTTATTGTGTTGTCTTATGTCAAATTTCTGATGTAAATATTTGTTTAATTTTGATTTATGACCCTAATGTTAAATGGTAAGAAAAAAAATTATATATTTGTGTAACCAATATATAACTATCACTTCATTCTAAGTATAAAACTTGAATTAAATGCTGTAGTACAATGGAAAAAATGTTGGTTATAACTAGGGCTAGGGACTTCATGCTCTTAAAAACCTTAAAATATGTATGCATATATACCCTAAAGAATCAATAAATATGCTATTAAAGTATGTATTTAAAAAAATTATATTTGTAATAATTAATAAAATAAAAAAATTTAACTAGTAATAAATTATAATAATATTTTTATATATGATAGGTATGATGATCTGAGATAATTTTTTCTTTTTTTCAAATTTTTTTCCATCTTATATTGAGTTTTTATCTAAAAAAAAATACTTAAAATAGTTTTAAAAATAAATTAAATTGAAAAAATTTTTTTTTATTTTAAATATAATTATATTTATAATTAATAATTATATAATTAATATAATATAATTCTTCTAACCTTAAGCATTACATTGGACTATAAGATATTTTCTTAAGTTGGAAAATTTAAATGACTGCCTGTTATCAGCCAAAATAATTTTATATTTAGAAAAGGAACGTTACACGTCTACGGAACTTATTGGCGCAAACTTAAAAAATCGTAGGTCACTACTACTAATATCTGCAGGCAATCCATCCATAGATTCATTTTTCCATTTAAAATGTTCGATATTTTTTGTAGTTAGTCTTAGCTTGTGCGGATTCTTCAAGTTTTGCAGAATGTATACGTTTTTTGTAGTTTTAATTATTTTAATGCATTCAATTAGTGCACCAATAAGACACCTTGAGTTCCAAGTCACGTGATATTTGAAGAAATAAATCATAATTTTTTTTTATAAAATTTAAGAATTTATTCCTTTATATGAATAATTGTCAAATATGTATTTATAAAATGAAAAATAGTCAAATGTGCACTTATAAATGAAAAATGGTCAAATATGCAAAATATGCAACTATAAATTTTAAATATAAACTTGTATTGCTATGAAACAAATTTATATATTACTTAGCTATGTATTTGATAATTATTTAAAAACCTGCAAGTTCCTAGAAGTCCCGAGCCCTAGTTATAACCAATATATTATATTTTGGAAGTGGTGAAAATGTAGAATGAGTGGTCAAAATGGTAAGACAAACTTCTCCTGTTTTTTCACAGTGTTAAATAATTATACACGAACAATGTGAATTTAGTTAAAATTTAACAATACGAGTTATTTTAATATTTTTGAAATTCAAATGTCATACCATATAGAAAATTTTTTATATTTTTATTTAAAATTTCAATATAAATTTACAGAGGTATTACAGAACTGATTTGTGAAGATAAAAGTTATATAAAAAATTTAAATGGAAAAACTATTTCTATAGTTATATCAACATTTTTATTTTTTAGATACCCAGCGAAGTGAAATTTATTTCCATTAAAATGTTTCTACACTTGTACATCTTTTTCTCAATTTCAACTTTCAACAGATTTTATAATAATTATTTTAAGAAATCAAAATTTCTAACAAATATTTCAATACATAACCATTTAAGTTATACTCATCATTTCGTAGAGGAATATTTTAAGAAGTATTATTCATTTAATCATCAGACTTTCAAGATATTTTAATATTTTATCGAAATTGTATTAGAGCATTATAGAACTTAACAGATTAAAAGTTTTCCGGTTAAAAATGTATTAATTCATTTTAACGTTTATTATTTTTGACGGGGAAGGGCCTGATATTCATCTGCTTTATGTTTATTATTTTTAAAATATATTTGTTTTCAGTATGCCATTATGTTATCGTCCAATAATAATTTTATCTAATGTTTTTTACATAAACTAAATTTCCATCCAGTACTTTCCAGGTGGTTCTGTGGCCCGGAGCAATTTCCATAGATAGAAGAAAAATAGTGTAATATATATAGTTTTTTTTTTCTATTACTAACTATCTTCTTATGTTTAATGTTTAGTTTTTTTTTAATTTAAAAATTAATCATCAAGTGCATTAAAATGAAAATCCTTTCAACACTATAGGAGAATGATTCTATTATTATAGTATGAATGTAAAAATGACAAATTGCCTTAATTCTTGTGTCTTATGTACTATATTTTGTATATTACATATTTTTTTTTTTTTTTTAATACAAAATAATAGCGATGAAGTTCTTACGAAAATAGTTATTGTAACCATCATCATATCGAATTGAAAAAGCGTTTTTCAAATTCTTCTATGATTTGACAATAATACAAATAAATTAGGCAAGAAAAACAAATCTACTCCATGATAATAATAATAAAAAAAAAATGTTTTTGTTATAAACAATTTTGGTACCATTTTATTCGAAGATGTACATAAAATGGAATAAAAATATCATTCACTTGACTAGAATATTATGACAGTTTGTTCAATACGGTTAAAACAAACCAAAAAGAATAAAAAACGATAATATCGGTAGCAAAAAAATATGTCTTATATTTTTCTCTCTGATAATTATAAAAATTAAATTAATAATATTAAGAATAATAATTATAATAATATATTTAATAATAATAATATTAATAATATGAACAACAACAACGTTTAAGTAGATGTTTGTTCAAAGTATCGGTTGCATTCGATTTAAATCCAGTTCGAAACAGCTATCCCGACATTGGTCCGACTGCGGCGGTAGTAAGTTGATAACGGCCGCGTCAGGAGGAACTCTAGTGTTCGACAACGCTGAAGTAGTCGTGCCGTTACTGACGCAAGACGCCGACCTGCCGTTGTTTACCGGTATCCAAGGCATCAGTTCCTTCGGGTCCAGTTTATCACTGCGGTTTGAAACGTTTAATTAGTGTTTTATTACGTTGTTTTATTATTATTATTTTTTGTTTCTTGTATTCGGAACAACATTACGGTGCAAAGACGTATTTAAGATTTTTCCTGGGGGGAAACATATATACCAACTATAATTACTCCAACAACAGCATATAAATGTTTAAAACTATAACACCGCAGTTCAATCGCGATGAATAAACCGTAAACTTATAAACTATTTAATTCTATCGTATTTTTAAGAATATTAAACGTGCGTTTACGGAAAAAATTGATTGTAGAAAAAAGAATAAGCTCAATGAGAAGGGGGGATCCACATATGTATGCGGTCTATTCTCGATGACTCGAATATTGATAGCAGGGAATTCTTGAAATCTCGAATAAATAAAATTAATCTTCAAGTAACAATAGCACTCACCATTTAAATAACATTGTTAACTCGAAAATTAATCGGACAAGTCTTTGATATCTCGAATTTTCTCATCCGAATTTAGTATTAAAAATATGTGATCACCGCAATTATTTTTCGCTTTTAACTTTTTGTAAGACTCGACTATTGTGCCTAGTGAACTATTAGCAATCAACAATTGTTAACTCCATACAATAGATTTCAGTTTTAGCTCTTTGCCGTCTGTTTGTTTAATCATGTATCGTGTGAGTATGACAGCGTTAACGTAGTGGTTCACTGGTTAATAAAATGAATAACATTATCACCCGTTTAAAAATAAATTTGCTTAAAGTTATTGAAAAAGACAAAAAACAAAAAAATGTATCACAATAAAAAATAAATATGTGATTTTAAAAATTTTAAATTAATACTCGTCAACTCGTACAAAACTCTGATATAGATACTTTAAAAAAACTTATAATACATAACATATAAATTACTTTATAAACATACTTTTTTATTTGTCTTTTGACTTCCAAGTTATCAAGAGTTTACTACATACATTATTAATAATGTGAGCGAATAGAATGTCTAGAATTTAATTATAAAGATATTATTACGTAGTAGCATATTTAATATTTTCTACGAAGCACTTAATATTGAATAATTCAATTGATCTAATGTAGTTAGATCCTTATTGAAGGTTTTAAATTTACGTTATTGGTCTATCGTTGGAGCTATTACAGTTATTATACCAAGAATATTCTCGAGTGCAGTTTATAAATTAATTACTGTGATTAGTTTGTGGTTAGAATATTTTATAAATGTATGATTTATTCTTTGATTGTGGTGTGTTCAAAATACCTGACGTGTTTTAGAAACTAATTGAACCATTGAGGCTTAAACCTTTTTTTTTAATATCATTAAAATACTATGTTTTATTCTATGATAATACTTGTTACAGATGTATTTAAAACCAATGAAATATTGCATCTACATAAAAATAAAATAATCCTTGAATTCATGTGGATTATTAAAATATAATCTGTCATTTCTGATGGCAATTTAACGCATTATATAGAATATAAATTAAAAATATTCAGTAGTAAATTTTTAAAAAAAAATCTTTGCACTCATTGGATACCCAGTAACTTTATTTTTTCCTTCTCGATTAATTTAAAATTTAGTTTCAAATTTACTTGCATTATGTTGAAATACACAATTTCATATATTGTAATCAATGTTTTGGTTTTTAACAGTGATTAAAACGGATAAAAAATAATAATATAAATGTAAATGTTTTTTTTTTTTGCTTACTACATATTGCAATTTTATATGATTTGTCGAGTTGTTACTTAGAAATGAAAACAAGAAAATGCTAAAAGCCTATAAAAAAATTATTCGAGACATATGATGACTTCTAGCATAGGCTACAAATAAAATATAATATAATAAAATAATAGAATAAAACAAAAATTTGTAAAATTTTAATAATCGTAAATAAATATATAAATAAATAAATAAATGCTTAACCTGGAGTATTATTATATTTGTAATATACGACAGATTACGTATTAAAAATTCGTCATCAGGTATATACAAAGTCAATAAATTTATGACTCTAATATCGTTTGTATTTTACAAGTATAATGTTACTCCAGACTAATTATTTATTTAATTTTATATATGATATAATTATTTATATATATGAGATTTACGTAGAGTTGTTGAATATACCGTAAAATATTGTTTTTTTTGACCGACGACCAAGTCCGACCATACTTTTTCCTCGAAGCAATAAATTTTCGCTTAGTGTGCCATCTGCTGATGTGATACTTCAACGTATTTTGAACTTCGTTGTTAAAAAAACAGTATAACAAAGAAACAGTGAAACCCTGTAGTGAATACATATTAATTAACTAATCATCTAGATCAAAGAAGAAAACATGTTAACCTATTAAATTTGAACGGTTTATTGTTCTTACTTGCGTGCTGATAATCACAACTTTGCTAAACTTGTAAATATTAACTAGGAGTCCGGTAGAACTAGGATTGATCATGTCCAAACAAAAAGTTATGCCCAACAGTGGAATCAAAACTAAAAGCGCTTTGGTAGCTTTTTTATAGTTATGCGTTTCTGCCGTATTATTGGAACGTATTTTTGTTATGAGGACCTTGAGAATAAATCAGCATAATGTAAAATCAATCGACTAGATAACACCAGCTATAATATTTAATTTTTTCAGTCATTTTTGAAAAAAATACTTAATATAATTGATAAAAGACAGGGGAAATTTTCGATGTATAAATATAATAAATAATAAATATATTATATTATATAATATCGAATAACATCGACATGTGTAGCAAAATATTTCTTTTTCTTTAATATTTCTAATTGAGCATCAAAGATTTGCCGAACGGGTTGATTCGTAAAATGCAGTCTAATCTGAATTTAAAAATTCTTTAAAATAATTATAATTACTGGTTTGAAATTCGATTTGAATATAAATTTAAATTTTCTGAATAATATTATTTGTTTTAAAATGTACATTTGAAAATGTATACAAAATTATAATTTTAAAAAAATCATACATATTTAGAGTGATTATGGTGAAATATATAACTTCGTTTGAAAATAATACCAATAGCAAGTAGTTAACTCGAAAAACGCGAATAATATATATATACGAAAAAAATGATTGCAAAACGAAATCACTCGGCAAAAATACTTACCAACATTATTTTTACAAGGAACATAGAATTGATCAACAGAACGATGACGATCGGCGACTGATATATCCAATCGTCCACGTAGGAAGCCATCAATGGACAGTATCTCTCGTACGTTATTTGATTATACAGATCTAACTGGACACATCAATTAAGTATTACTTGTTACTTAGACTTAAACTTTTATTAGCGTATAACTAACTATGTGTTTAACACTTACGTCGCTTTTGGTGGGCACTAAAAGTTTCGTGACACACCAAGTCGATATGATGATCAGCGGTATTCCTGAAATAGAAACCAACGTCAATGAAATCGTACACATTATATTTAGATTTATTCGTATGCTGTATGATTAACGGTTATTGAGTTATAAATAATTGATAATGAACAATAGATCACAGTAAAGATGAAGATAGAAATAAAAATAAAAACGTTTAAAATATCATATCACAATCATCTCGTATATGGACGATAATTGTAAATTATTGTCCGTATGGTCTCATTGATCGTCGATGATAAATCATAATATGAGGTACGTAAGCTATAAGGTATATAAGGTACCTGTATACAGTGGTTAAAGTGGGAAAAATGTTGTGGGGGGACTGTATGCATCAAAAATTGAGGAACGTTCCCCTACCTAAATCTAAATCTTACCAAACTTTTTTAAGAAACCCATGAGGTCTAAGCCTCTTTTGTTACACCTATATGTTCATAAAAAATTTATTTTCATAGGGTGTAAAAACAAATTTCCCTCAAAGAAAAATAATTCTATACATATGCCTGCTCAGTAAAAATAAATTTAAATACATTATTACTGTAAAATATAAATACAAATAAATATAAATACTTTTTATATTATAACTACGTATTATTTCTTTTTTCCACTTGTTCAAATTAATCAAAAAAATAAATTTCATTTAATATTGTAATATTATAATAAGTATTGTATATTCAATATTGTATTTTAATGACCAATGCCATTAAGCGTTCACCCGGACTTTTGGCGACTTAAATTAAAGAGGACGCATAATCTTACCTTAAATAAGAAGGGGGACTCCGTCTCCCTCCGATCCCCACTTTAACCACTGCTTGTATACTGTGTAGACTTTTTTTCGTTGAGTTACTCTAAATACTCTTTACAATTAGTCTATACAATAACTAGAGTACTCTATCAATTGTCGTTCTATACTTTAACTAGATCAATTTAAGTAAACACTGGTGTGCATTATACATGTAGCTAAAACTCTGCAGCTAATATAGTTTTCATCGATTCGCCCAGTTAAATAGACCAAATAGAGCTCGTTCATTTGTTTGTATCGCTTACTTTACATGTAATATTTTTTACACAAATTTATTCTACAAATATACACGGGGCATAGACTTGTTTAGGTAGAATTGCTCCACAGGAAATACTAGAGCTGTGCATCTTGTTTGTTATACAGAAGTGAAAAAATTTGCCGCTCGCTTATGTAATACATACCATATATACTATCATAAGTAACGTAACCATCATAATGTAAAATTATTAACGGTTATTATTTATTTATTATCGATATCAATGTCTCAATCATAGTTTCTATTAATTTCGGAAAACAGATATGTTATCAGCTCATTGACATACACAGTTGAAAATTCAAATCGTAGTATTTTTTATGAAATGCACAACACATAATAATATATGTTTATAGAAATTAATTTTATTTATTACACGCTATTTTGTAAGCCAACGTGTGCTTGGACGCAATCGGGCATCTCAACGGTAGTCTGATTTCGAACGTCAATTTTTTTAATAACTTTAAGTTATCGTTAATTTTCCTGTAATGAAGTTTTCATACGATTTGGTAGCCAAAATTTGGTCCATCATGAAGCGGCCTCATCTTAAATTTTCAGAAGATATCTGGCCAAAGCCCGACCTCAGTATAGGGTTCGGCGCCATTGACGCAACGTGTGGTTGTGATACGTCACATGTACGAGCGAGCGAGTTTATTAGCCGGAGTATAACCGGACAAGTCACTCGATTGCGTGCGACTTTAATCACTGATGTGCAGCGAGTAAGTTCACCCAATGTAATCAAAGCTTTAGACACATATAGGAACTTAAAAAACCTTTCTTATAAATATTTTGTTTATACTGGACTTTTGTTAGTATTTTATAGGACGATAAAACTAAATTGTTGAGTTTAAATTACCTTTGTTTAAATGTTGTGCTTTTTAATGTTTATCTTTACTATTTATTTATGTTTAGTGTATTAAAATATATAAAATTGCGAGGTATTAATAAAATATTATCTTATTTATTATATTAGTTCGAGTTGTTGAATTTATAAAAATGACCATTTACTTCGATATAATTAAATAATTAAGCTGTTGGCTACATAAAAAAAATCTAGTTTCATTAGCGACCAACAAGATCAGTTAATAGTTAATTGATCGTAAACGCGCACGCTAATGTTTGATAAATCTTTATTAACAATTTTTCGTGAACTTTGTTCTTTGTACTTTCTGGAGAAAACCATACGCTCAAGTGACACACATTCTTCGTAGATTAGAAGTCTAAAGAAATCTGTAAAATGATCGGATTCGTTGAGTTTTTGGTTTTGATATTCGTAGCGTGCCGATGGACTTTGACGAACGCTGGCATCCAGATTATGATCCCGAACAGTTATAGGACTCCGTCGGAATACTTAGCATCGGTCGTCGGACGCGGTAAAGCTACGCTAATGACCGTACGTCCAAGAGCTATGTCACGGATTCAAATTGATACAAAGCAAGAATGGCTGGGAACATCGAATGGTGATGGTTTGAAATGTTTTACGTTAAAAATTTAACTTTTTCAACTATTTTTTTTTATCTTTTTTTTAAACCAAAACCATATAATCACCAAACAAACGAAAACCGTCTCGAAATGTCTTAACGTTTTCCGTGTATGTGCCTACAGGATCGGCGGAAACCAAAGACGGGCACACGGATGACAGGACCGCAGAATCTAGTCGGAAGCAATCTTCGTATACCGTTCATGCCACGCAGTCCACGACTGCCGATTTTGCGACGACGCGGCCATCACGCCGATTTATGTCTCCTGTGGCCCATGTAAACGACGAACATTTTCAAGACTTTCTCAACATTAACCTTTCGTTAGTCGAGTTGTTATTTATAACTTTATTGGTCACGTGGTTATCTATAGCGTCATTGGTCACGTGGATTACTATTGTATTCCATTAATGTGGCTGCATCCGAATTAGATCCTGAATTTAAAATTACTACACTAGTTGGGCCCCGAATTATTTAGGTACCACACTAATTCCTGAATATTTCCAGGTATGGTTAAAAATGTTTTTTTATAGTTTACATAAAGAGATATAAACATTTATAGTTTACATAGTTTTATAGTTAACTATAAAAAATTGGGACCCAACTAGTACACTACCTGCGATTAGCCCCTAGTACTCTAGACCCAATTCGGATGCACTGATCAATGTTAATCTTAAATGATAAATAATTGCTTCATTAATACTATTTTATAAATATATCATAATATTATAGAACACTTCCAGAATGTGTTTATATCCAGTGCAACGTTCGTTGCACGCGCTAAGTAAAAAAAAAAAAAGAAAAGTAGCGAACAACAGTGTATATTATATCGAACAACGTTCCCATTTAAACACATGTAAAATGGCTCATATTTTTTTTGCACTCGCATAACTATAAAACTACTGAATCAATTAACTTCTAGTTTGTGTCAAAACATTGAAAATACTACTGAGATGTGCCTTTTCTTAATTTCATGCAAAATTGGTTCAACAGAACGGAAGTTATGAGCATTAATGTTTAGAATTTTTACCAAAAAAAGATATTGATATGGTCTGTTTCGATTTACGCTGCATGGCGATAGCTGCGCGTTGTCGCGTTGTCTTGGTTATGCAAAGTATATGTTTGTAATTTGAACTACTCTTAAATCATTCGACGTATTTTAATAATTACAAAATGTCTTAAATCGTCAATAAAAAATGTGAAAAATGAAATTATTAAAATTGATGTGTGCAATAACATTGCGAGTAGTATGTTAAAATTTGGACATAATTTTGCTTGTCATACTAATAACTCAGCATGTAACTCAAATATGTTATTCCTTAGAAGTTTGGGTACTCACTTTCCAAGTGTTAGGAACATAACTCACATTATATACAAATTGCAGAGATCACTTCGGTTAATAAATTAAACCGACAATGCAATATATTCAGCGAATATGACAAAACTATTAAATATAAGAGATACGTTTGAAACGTCTGGAGCAGTTTACAATTTGGGGACTTTAATTCATTAAAATGTGAATGCTTTTATTTTAACTCACTTTCAATCGTTTTGTGAACACAATAATCGAGTTGTTGATACTGCTTTAAATGAATGTCAGTCATGTCTAAATATATGTATGTCTGTCTTGTCATAAACTATGTTATATGAGAGATGTTTATGAAATAACGAATTTGACTAAGCCTATAAAAAATAATGAAAAATAGGACGACATTATTAGGTTAATTGAGATTAATAATGTTCCTAGGGATTTCATTTGTAAATTTTGTTTGAATAAATTTCGTTCCAACTTGACCGTCTCTACTTGTATTTTAAACAATTTATTCATTCCTGAACCACCTGAAATTATATCTATGTTAAATGAATATGAAAGAAAATTCATACAGCAGGCAAAGGCTTTTCAAATTGTAGTCAAAATGGACACTATATCTGGCTGACAACAGCCCAACATTTCCATATTACAAAAAGCTGTTGGTACTGTTTTCCATTTACCTCTTCCATTAGAAGAAACACTAAACATATTGCCTAAACCTGATTAAGTTCATAATATGAATGACTTATTTATAATAGTACGTAGTTTGCCTACAAAAAAAAAAATATATATATATATAGGAAACATTAGTTATAAGAATAAGAAAAAATCGTCGAGTTTTTCTCACTAATAGTACGACTGAGAATATTAAATATTGATTTAATATAAACTGACGATAATATTGTTGGCGAGTTCGCGAGTAAATATTAATCAATTTATCGGCGAAAATGTTTGAATGTTCGACCGTTCGACGAAAATAAATATATGATTATTTTCAACCCACATTATACAATATACGTATATACTAATTGACAGACGGTCGTAATCGTAATGACATTATTTGGGTTTATTATTATGACCATAAATGGATTATTTGAGTAAACACATAAATACCCATCATATTATTTTTCAATTTATTTTGCTGTGAACATCTGAACACTTTGGTCGTTCTCGCTTTTTGTAGTTTTGTATACTTACTGAAGACTGGCTGTTTCTCTGCAGCGTAGTTCGATTAATCACAAGTACAACTTTATTTCTTGGAGGTCTATTAGATTATTCGTAAGTATATATTATGATACTTTTGTAATCAACCTATATTGTATTGTACTTATTAGGTATGTATAAGTACTTGTAATTATTAAAATAAAATATATATTAAAAAAATAATAATGTATACAATATATATTTTTAATGCATATTTTTACGTAAGTACAAATGAGGGAGGGGTTCGGAATAATCCCCCCCAGGACAAAAAAAAATAGTGTCCAGTTTTGAAATTATTAGAATAATAGAATGAAAAATATAAACGTCACGAAAATAACACATAAAGTGTATATAAAATCTATTAGTCATCAATTCATAGGCGTATTTTAGGGGGGGACGAAGGAACGATCACCCTCCCTGAATTCGAATTTAAAGAATTGATTATATGTGAGATACACATTTCAGTTTTTTTTTAATGTGGATCATTTTATAACGAAATCAAATTACGCGTGGCTATGAATGCTGAATTGGGCTTTTTGTCGGGTCCATACTTAGTGAAAAGTCAAATAAAACAAAAGCGTAACTTGCTAAACACATGTGTTAAACAAGAACTACACAAAAGTCGATTCTAAGTGGATCCGGTATTAGATTAAAAAAAAAAAAAAAACCACAAATGTTAAGGATTCACCTAATTTAAATATTACCAAACATTTTACTTCAATTTTGAGCCTGAAATAAAGAAAAAATTTGATTCGCCTCCTCCCCTAGAAGTAAGTTTATATACGCCCCTGCATCCAGTGTTTATTTCAGACCTATCCCGGGGATGGGGGAATCGTAAATTTCTAAAGTGGTATGCCTTAGAAGTAAATGATTAAGGGAAGTAAAAGTATCGTTTTACGTTCAATTTATAGGTATTAGATAGATACCTACAAATACGTAGATTCTTAAAAATTTAACTTTAGTTCATTATATGTATACAATATTGAATTAAAGTGTAGAGTAATAATAATTCAACTATAATATCTTTGAACCATTTTTCACTCTCACACTTATTATTTATACATATTTTCATAATAAATTGATCCGGGACTTTACGGAGAGTATTGATTTGAAATGTAGAGATGCTGAGTACTCCAAAGTGCCCGCTCACTAACTTGCGCCTATAGAGATTTTTAGCATGAAATTCGAGCGGAGTAACAGCGGATATTATGCCGACAGGAGTTAGACACTCGCGTCGTGCCGGGGTGATTATTCGACGGAAATCGTTTATTTTTTTTTATTTATTTTTTTTTATATTTACGTCGTGCAAGATTTTACGCCGTACCGACGATAACGAACTTAAGGTATTTACAATTTGCCTGAAGTCCGTCAACGTTGTTTATAAATAACATTGTACCACGACCGGATTCGGAGGAAAGGGAAAACATGAAAAAAAAAAATAGAAGGTGATGAAAAGATGGTAAAATATGCACATAATGCACTGTACACATGTACTGCGTTCTAGCTCTCTCGTATCGTACATGATATCGATTTGCATAGTAAACACATACGGTCCGCATCCTTGAAGAACGATCTAATTTGAATATTGCTGTTGCTGTTGAATTTCATTACGTTACGCGGAACGTACGCGAACGTACAACCGCACAAACTTCGGCATTCCCTCCCTCTGCCCCGTATTTTTTTTCGACGTAAATTCTCGTTACGGGTTCGTAATTCTGTATTGGCCGTGCCACAATGTGCGACCCGTGCAAGGGTGATCCGACGACGATGATAAAGCATACAAGCAAAGATCGGTTTGTCGATTAGCTGACGAATATAATATCGACGGATACATCGATAAGCAGAGCTTATTCTAAAGATTTTCACCTACTGCCCGAACACACCGAAGAGTTTGTTTTGTGAAATTTATTTGGATTATATACTTACTTCCTCCTCAAATAAATTGTACATTGATATTTTAAAATTTCAACTACCTCGTGGTAAAATATTTAATAAAATACGGATCTTTTCCGTTATACGTATACCACTAATTAAATTTCATAGATTAATCAATCATTGGAGTAGCAAAAATTGCAAACTTACATTATTGTTACTTATTAAGTACTAGGATGGGTTGATGAATTACATAAATTTCAAATATTCAGTAGAAATTCAATCATTCTATAATAACAAAAATTATAAATTTGTAAAGTGCCCATATTCATAAAGTCAACTGCCCTTTTGGTTTTTCCTACTACCCAATTTGGGTTGTATTGCCCGTTAGAATAAGACCTGTTGATAGGTGTACATGGTAATGTTTGGCAACCAATCGACGATTGACAAATCGATGCTTTAGAAGTGTCGATCGGTCGATTGATAAACAGGTCGACGCATAGTTAGGCAAAATTTGTTGGTTTAATTAAACCAACGCGATAATCCCGATATTCTAGAATTAAAATGTAGTCAGTTTGGTCAGACGGTGTCATCTTTATCAAAGATTTAATTTTTTTTTCTTTTTTCTATGGTCGACGTATTTTATTTACCTATAACTTAACGATTAGCTATACTTTAAAAATAAATAAATCAACGGCAAAAAAAAATAAAAACATATACCACATGTGCAATCTACGACGAACTGAATATTATCAAATACCAAACTTGGCATTCGTCCTAAACTATAGAAGTTGATAAACAAGTTGACAAAACAGTTTCGTGTATGGTGAATAGTAGATAGTCGATTCGTTGATCAATTTGTACTTCGACAAATTGACAAACCGATCGTTATAAGTACGCTTAAACCTCGTATAGAGTACAATGTACTATTTATATTATAACGATACCGAATCGATGCGGATGTCGCACGAGAATATCGGTACAATATACTATGTCGTATCGAATTCACTTAGACGTGACGAAAGGGTGTATATATCTTTATTTGTTTTTCGTTCATCCCTAGCGCGTTGCAAACACAGAACATTAACTATAACCCTCGCGGTCGTTGTTAACGTATCAATATTTTTTATTATAGTCATCG